GTAGGATAGGAGCTGAGGCATCCCAGCTGTGCTATCCCCGTCCAGACAGATTCTCCCAGCACTGGCCTGCTGAGGTGGGTGGCCACCACGTGGTCGGCATCTGGGCGCCATCCACGGTTATGGCAAATCCAGACGGGTGCATCCCTCCCATGGGCGGCCCGATGTTCTTCCGAGTGGGGCCTGGCCCTGGAGGCAGTTTCAGGCTCCGCTTCTTGGGCACCTCAGTGGTCCAGGCCCCGGGCCAGGAGACTCCTCAGGACCTCCTTCAATACCCCCAGTCCCAGTCAAGAAACTGGGGCCCTGGGAGGTGAAAAGGACTTGCCTGAGGCCACCCAGCTGGTGAGTGGCAAGGCCAGGGTTCCAAGTCTCCCAGCTCCAAGCCCCACACTCTCCCACTGACGCCACTGCTGCCTGTCATGTGGCAGAGCTGGCAGGGCCTTCAGGCCTGGGTGGGCCCAGTGACGACGGGACCGGGGACAGATAGGCCATGCTGAGTGCCAGAGAGGCAGAGGGGAGGAGATGGAAGATGTGGCTGGGAGGGGCAGCCACAGTGTGGTGATGAGCCTTCGAGGGGAGTGTTGATCCCGCAGGGAGAGCCATAGCCTGGGTACCTCCGGGTCCAGCTGTGCCCCCTTCTTGCCTCACTGGCTGCCGGGCACCAGAAGATCTGACTGGGGTAAACGAAGGCCTGACAACACAGCGGGACAAACCTATGTTCAAATCCTGCCTCAGCCATTTCTCCCATTGCGTGGCCTCAGGTTGAAGCAGCTCTCTTGGCTTCAGTTTCTTCTTCTGTAAAAATAGAGGTAAAACCTCTCTGGTAGCTGTGTTACTGTTATGATCCCATAATCTGGGCAGAGCTCTTAGTTTAGGACCTGGTACATAGTAAGTGCTTGGTTTTGTTGTTATTATTTACTTAAGTACTAAATTAATTTTACTAAAAATTAAATTTTGGGGGGGAGGGGGTGGGAGATACAAACATCCGGTTATGGGATGAATAAGTCACGGGAATAAAAGGCCCAGCATGAGGGATATAGTCTATGATACGGTGCTAGCGTCGTGTGGTGACAGATGGCAGCTACACTTGTGGTGAGCAGGGCATGACGTATAAACCTGGGAGTCTCTGTGTTGTACACCTGAAACTAATGTAACATTGTGTGTCCGCTACACTTCACATTAAAAAAGTGATTAAAAAAATAAAATAAATACTAAATTCTATATACCTTTATGGAAATATTAGTTCTTTCTTTTACTATTATCATCACTTGACTCTGAGCGTCTGTGTCTTCAGCTACAAAACGAGGGTAGTAATGCACTTGGGAAGTACTTACAAGAAGTTGTGGGGCTCACATAAAATCTGCCTTTTCCATGCATCCTTCATTCAGCTGTTTGCCAGACAGCTCCTGCGTGCTCTCTTCCAGCTGCCCGGACTGAGCTCTGGAGCACGACCCACTTCCTGCTCTGATGAGTCTTAAGTCTGATGAGGGAATCAGACGTTAAATACATGAATGATACAACGAAGTAGTGTGTTGCCCTTGTGGTGAGCGCTAGCTGTACGAGGGGCTTGAGAACAGCGCTGGCACGGGACAAGTGGGAGGTGACTCTCCTTATGATTTCATTACAGTTTAGGCTTTTAAATATTTCCAGTTATGGGCTAATAACCGTGCTGAAAAGATTTCCCTGGATTTGCACAGTATTAACTGTAAAAGATTTGCTCCCTTTGGGGCGGTTTTTGTTGTGGGGCTGAAAGGATGTTTAGGTGAAGTATCTGTCCGGGCATTACCAAGGCCCAGGTTGCTGGGAACAGGCCTTTCTGGGGAGGCCCCCCGCCCCCCAGTGCTCAGTGTGTCACAGTGTACTCTCAGGGAAGTAGACAGGTGTTGGAGTCAGAGTATTTTGTGGAGGGGTAATGAACACTCTGACAGTGGAATTAGTTCTGCTGGCGTAGTGAGCTCCCTGTGCTCCCTGGGGTGCAAGTGAGCACCGGGGGCTGGAAATGGTGTGCCACCCCTTAGAAGGAGAGCCTCTCCTGGCCTCCCGTTGCATAACCAGGGACCTGAGAAGAAGCAAAGGGGCCAGCTTCAGCCCTCCCAGGGCAGCACAGAGCAAGCCTTCCAGGCTGAGGGTGTTATTTGAGAAAAGCCAACTCCCCATGTGTTTCTGAGGGCCAGTGAGTGGGTCAGAACACAGGAGCTGGAGCCAGACAGACCTGGGCTCCAATCCCACGCACCCACTGTGAGGCCTAGATAGGTTTCTTAATCTCTCTGAGCTTTCATTTTCTCCTCCACACTCAGGGGTTGATGGCAGAGTCACACGGGTAAAGAGGGAAGTTCCCAGCTTGTGGAGCTTCCAGAAGCCCCCATTCTCCAGCCCCCTTCCCTTATCCTGCTCCCCACATCTCTGCTTCTGGCTGAGCCTTCATTCTGCCTCTCTGTCGGCTCGGTTCCATTCTGCACGGGGTTTGCAGCTAGAACAGAGGTGCCACGTGTCCCCTGTCCCAGTCACCTCATGCTCAGCCCCAGAGGCTCCTTTTTGTTGTGGTTGAAGCAGTAATGGGATTTTCAGGATTGCCTCTGCTGAATCCTTGGAGAGGTAACTGAATTACATTTTTGAGTAGGGAGAGGAAAAACAAGATCCAAGGAGAGAATCCATCTGTGGATTTCAACCCACCAAACTTGGAGCTTCCACAAGGGAAATTACTTTTAATTATTAAAATTTTGGAAACACGGTGCCACTAGAAAGAAAGGAAGTAGAAATGGCTCCAATTAGAAGTGCTAGCATATGTTTCTGTGATTTAATGGTTTCCCGTAACAATATGTAGTTATTTTTAAAGCAGACGAATGACTCATGGTATCCAGCACCAGCGGTCCCCGGTGATGGCAGGAAGTTTGTGCTCTGGGGAGGCAGGCTTGAGTTCGACTCCCACCTCCATCATTTACCAGCTGTGTGGCCTGGAACATGTTATGCATCCCCTCTGCATTTCCTCTTCCTCCTTTATAAAATGAGTTGTAAGGATTAAAAAGATAATGCATGTATGAGTCAGTACAGTGATAGTCCATCCATGCAAAAAATCCCACAACTTTTATATTAAATACCTGCTTAACCGTATTTGTCATAATTCTTAGTAGTTTAATAAACTTTTAAGGCTATCAATTTTCCTCTGAGTACCACTTTGGTCAAATCTCATACATTTGGATACATAGTGTTCTCACCGATGTTATCTTCAAGTAGTTTTTTGTTTTACATTTTTTGCTTTTTCTTTGACCTAAGAGATGCTTGTGAGTGTATGTGTGTTTTCTTCTTTTTTTTCTAATTTTTTAAATTAACATATAATGTATTATTTGCACCAGGGGTACAAATCATCAGGCTTTGTAAATCGTCAGGCTTATACACTTCATAGCACTCACCATAGCACATACCCTCCCCAATGTCCATAACCCAACCAACCCTCTCCCTACCCCCTCCCCCTGGTAACCCTCAGTTTGTTTTGTGAGATTAAGAGTCTCTTATGGTTTGTCTCCCTCCCGATCCCATCTTGTTTCATTTTTTTCCTTCCCTACCTCCCAAACCCCCCACTTTGCCTCTCAAATTCCTCATATCAGGGAGATCATGTGATAATTGTCTTTCTCTGATTGTGTATGTGTGTTTTCTAATCAGAATTTTTTCTATATTTATTGCTAAATCCTAGGTGTAATATAGTAAGGTCAAAGAATGTGGGTAATACAGCATTTACTTTTTGGAACTTACTGAGCATTTCTTGATGGTCTAATATATAACCAGTTTTTGTAAGTATTCGATGGATATTTGAAAAGAGATATTTTCATTTATATAACACCAAGCTTGTTAGTTTCATTACTCAGTATTCATATATGCACAGGTATGTACATATATCTGTATATGCGTGTATTTTTTTGTAGGTAGACACGCACGCACACAGCTGCATACATGTGAGCATGCAGAAGCGCGCGCGCGCACACACACACCCACACCCACACACACACACACACACACATTCTGGAAGAGAGATGCCAAAGGCTCCTTCTATGATTGTGGTTTCGTTGAACTCCATTTCTGGCAGTTTTTTGCTTTGTGTATTTTGATGCAGTGTTGCTTTGCGTATAGCAATTTGATCCTCTTAATCAGCTGTGCTTTTCATTAGTATCAGTCCTCCTCTCTGCCTTGTGCAGTATTTTCTGCCTTGAGTTCTGCTTTCTATTGTTCCTCCTGCTCAGCTCACCAGTATCATAGATGTAGTGGCAGTCCTCATGGAGGGCTGCTGGGACGGCATCCTATCTGGTGTCCACGCACACCTGTGGAGAGCCAGGGGTGTGGATCATGCTGCACACGCAGTCCTCCTCTCCCATCGCCGGCTGAGTCCCAGTTGAGCTGATGCCAGGAGGCTGTGCTGAGGCTCACCACTGGCAGGTCGTAACCATGTTTTCCTATCACGCGCCCTCAAGAAAATTCTCTATCTAGCCTTAACTCTTTGTACCAAGGACTGTTGCTTTTTAAAAATTTTTTTTGTCTCTTAGTTAATTTATTATTTTGGGGTATGTGTGTGTGTGTGGATAGAAAAATAGACACATAGTTAAGTGAATAAGTAGAAAAGTGAATTCAGTCCAAAGGGGTATTGTCCTGAATGTGACACCTTAGATCTATCCAATGCCATCGGTTGGTGAAAAATACAAGTATCTGTCCCTTTCATGTCCTGTTATTTTCCAGTTGGATTACAGGTAAAAACCCTTGTAGCTAGAGAGTGTATGAACTAGAAATGCTAAAGTCTTGCCAGCATGCATTTTGGTTGTCACACAGATGCCTGGTTGCAGTGGAGCTGTCTATGTGAGAAATTAGTAGTCGGGATTGGGAGTGAAGTCAGAATAGTATCTTGGTTTTCCATAAGTCACACTTTATACCTTCTAGTACAGTAGTGCTGTTTTGTGCTATCTTGTTCTGATTCAGGATGAATGCCCACCATTACTAAATACCTTCTTTAATTTCAGGGATCTATCTTCTGGATTTAATCTACATTGATTCTGCATATCCTGCCTCAGGCAGCATCATGGAAAACGAACAAAGATCCAATCAGATGAACAATATTCTCCGAATAATCGCTGATTTACAAGTTTCCTGCAGCTACGGTTAGTACCCTGCTTGCTGGAATTGTAAAATCTTACATCACTGAAATTTGGATTTAGCATCTGATCAGTGAGAAAGCTCTAGAAAACTCTAGAAAGCTCTAGAAAACTCTAGTATCTTGAGCATCTAACACGCACTGGACCCTTTTCCCACAGGCTTAATCCTCAAAGACTATGAAAACTAGTTGTTCCCATCTCTCTGTTACAGACAAAGAGATGAGGCCCAAAATAGTTCAGTTGCTTGTCTGAGATCATCTGGGTAGTGGTAGGGCCCAGATCTTTCTGGCTCCCAGGTCATTCATCCATGAAGAGCTTTGTGGGCAGCCTCTGGGCATCTCTCCTCCGAGAGGATTCAGAGACCTGGGTCCCTCTGTGTTGTGGTTCCACCATGTCCCGTGGCCTCTGGGTCCTCTAGTGGACTCTACATCTGACTGGCAGATGCAGGAGGAGAAAGAATCATACAAGAGTAGGGTTTATGGACCAGATTTGTACATGGTGCTCATCAGTTCTGCTGTGGCAGGGCAGGGCTAGGAAATATAATCCAGCTGTGGGCCTAGCAGAAAAAGGGAGATGACTTGGTACAGACTGGCCAGGCTCTGCTACACATGACTGGATCCAAAGTGTGACCAGTTGTCAGAGATGAAGTAGAGGAACAGAGAAGCCAGAACGCTACGCTAGTTGGGCCGTCCATGCGGATGTCGATTACACCCAGGATGACGGTGGACTCTGGGGTGTGGAATGCACCTGTGAGCCAGGTGTCCAGGTCCCCCAGGAAGGGGCAAGAATGACCAGGGCGCCAGTCGGGAGGAGTCAGCCGTGAAGAGGGGTATTGGGTGGTAGAGCTGCAGGATTGTGCCTCTGCGGGGCAGGGTTTTCATAAGCAGGTGGAGGGATAAAAGTTTGGAAGCAGCCAAGGGGGACAGGAAGGAAACCAACCCCACCTACCCCACCTACCGTACACAGGGCAGGAGAAAACGAAGAGCCTCCATTTGGGAAGGCCACGGGGAAGCCAGGGTGGGGTTCTGCGGGGCGGGCTTGCTGAAGCAAAAGCTCCCGTCCAAACCCCTCCACAGGCACTTCCAGATCAGCTGTCCTGGCTGGAGGAGCAGGAGGGGTCCAGACTCCCCGTACAGTCCTCCCCCGCGTAGGCTCTCGCCGTTCACAAGTGCATCAGCACCGGCCGTCCAGCCGGCCTGCAGGCCGATTACACACGCAGCTTTGGGGTCAGACGGACTCGGGCCCAAATCTCAGCTCTGCCACCTGAAAAGTCACTCCCTTCTCTCTAAGTGCGAGCTCTTCTCATCGGCAGAGCGGGGACATAAGGCGTGCAGAGCCCTCGGCACATTCCCACATTTCACTAGAGCTCAGGAACTCCTCGTACGACTGTCACCCTCATTGACCTCCACCTTCTCAGACATCATCAACTTCGTGAAGCAGGTGTCATCAGCCCCAGGACAAGAGCACTGAGGCTCTAGAGAAGCAGAGCGACCTGTTCCAAACCTTGCAGCCAAGGGGCAGAGCCATCAGGGGCTCCTCACAGCAGCTGGACGCCCATCCCCAAGAGTGGGAGGCCCTCCCCACCCCCTTTCTGCTCCTTCACAGCCTCCTTTACTGCCTCCACCTCTTCCCTCAACCTGTTCTGTCCTACCCCCGGAGGAATGGCAGAGAGGACCCTGGAGGATGTTCGAACCCCTTGGAGTGCGGTGACCAGGAAGGACTGCAGAGGGCACCTGGGAAAAAGGGGGGTTGTGACGTGGCAGAGGCATCCGGTGACGGGGTCGAAACCTGGCTCGGCCACGTCTCGATGATCTGATCTTTGCCAGTTGCCACAGTTGCCGTAGTTTCTTTCTCTGTGCAACCGGCATAGTATTTCCCCCAAATGAGGCAGATGTGACAGCTAAAGCAGATGCCTTCTGGAAACCACCTGGTACCTAGCTTGGCACAAAACAGGTGCCCAGGTGTCTAGGCCCCAGGAGGGAGCAGCTCCAGACCACGGGCCAGACTCAAAAGCTGTGCTGGGACCGGGGTCGGACCTCTGCCCCGGGTTGATGGGGTTTGTCAGTTCATCTCGCATTCTTGTCATGCAGGGGGTTGGGAGGCTTCCCAGCTGCCCCAAGGCACACCTGTGTTAGGGGACAGACACCCGGCTCCAGTCTGTGCTAGAGGCCTTTCTCTCGCAGCCAAGGACCGGTGGTGACTTCGGGGTATGTGGGGTCGGGGAGGGGGCAGCACGCACCAGCAATTCCTACACTTGCCCTGCGGGGTGGGGAGAGACTGACGCTGTGGGTTTTGTCGTGTCCTGCAGATCACCTCACCACCCTGCCCCACGTGCAAAAGTACCTGAAGTCCGTGCGCTACATCGAGGAGCTCCAGAAGTTTGTGGAAGACGACAACTACAAGTGAGTGGCCGTCCTCGCGTGGCCCCTTGGGACCCGTGAGTGGCCGCCTGCACGGCAGGTGACCCAGCGCGTGGGAGCACTGCGGCCCCAGCTGCCCAGGCCCCGTAGATCTGAGGAAATTGTTCTGTCAGCTTCTCGGCCTGGCTTTCCCACGTTGCATGGGTAGCATGAACGTGGACTCCACGGCTGCGTGTGACGCAGGCTTTGTGCCCGGGTCCTCACAAGTGACTACCCCTCCACCGCTGCTCATAGCGTCGAGCGGGAGGAAGGGCAGCTCTCTAGCCACGCTGCAGGCTGACAGCTCTCCAGGAGCCTGTTTCGGGGACGAGGCGGCTCCCTGTGGCCCCGGTGTCCTGCAGGACTGTCGCCATCCGGCCCTGGCTGCGGCCTCATCTGCATCCCATGCAGCCCTTTGGAGTTGACTCTGTTCCCACGAAGACCCCTGTGGGCCCTTTGTCCTCATCTTCCCCTCGCCCCGCTCTGGCTTTCAGCTGGTTCTTCATTTGTGACACCCGGGAATTTACCCAGTATTTCCGTGTGTTTAGAGGGAGAAGGAAGATTTTTCAGATCAACTCTGTCTGCCACATTGCTCGGACATCCTCTTGGCTCATTTTGAGCTTGAGGCCGCTAAGAGTCTCAGTACTTTTTGTATGACCTGCTATCGAGGAGGATCTCAGCTGTCTTGTAACTGATCATTTCCCCCTAAATGTCAACTTTATGTGTATTCTTTCAAATCTCGTCTTATTGGCTGCTTCCGGGGGCCATGTTCCTTTGAGTCCCATTATCCAATATATATATATTTTTTATCTCTTCCAGCTTTGTATCGAAAATTTGACCAGTTTGATTACTTGGTCTTCGTCAAAACACTGAAAATTGTAGGGAACTGTGGCCACTAGTGACACCTCCGGTCACTCCGGATGTGCTCCACATCTGGCCATGTCCGCAGTCGTGCTTCTCTGCCCTCGCGGTGAATCAGAGTCACCTGCGAAGCCTTGTAACCATCTGTATGTTCATGGTGGAGCCTGGGCATTTGTATTTTTTCAAAGTTCCCTGGGTGGTTCTAATAGTTAGCTGTCTCTGGGAGCATAGACATAATGTCTTTCGTTGTTATTGTATAATATTTTGTTAGAGCAGAGTATCATATGAAATTGTGATCTATTGCATAACAATAACAACAACAGACGAAGGCCAGAGATTACCACTGAAATTATGTTTGCCACAAATTAAGCTCATTTTACTTACAAAGCATTTGCTGTTCCTGAAAAGAGTACCCCAGAGTGTGAAATTATTCCCTCTTAGGTTCTGGGATCATATTTTCCATTCATGTGCCTGTAGTACAATTAAAGAGACAGCAGTTTTTCATTAACACTAATATCCTTTAAGGAGAAAAATAGTCTATAAATACTTCTGACCATGAGATAATCCTTGGACAAGCTGCAGGTCGTGAGTAATTACTCCTTCCATCCTGAAGGGCATTGAACACCCCCTGTGCTTACTGCTATCCAGTCAGCCTGGATTTCACAAAAGCCCTTTGTTGTGGTCCAAGTGGGCAAACCAAGGGAAGAAGCCTGCACTCTTCCCTGGCAGGGGCTGGACCATGGACGGGGTCCCTCCCCAGGGAGGCCCCAGCTCTGAGTGACACAGGACATGCAGGGCTTGTGATTCTGCTTGAGGAACCCATGCTCCGTGGCCCAACTCATGTCCTGAGCCTTGTTCCCCACCCAGAAGGACGAGGTGGCTTCATTATCTCCTGATGATGGAGCATTTCTGACACCCTGCCCCCATCTGCTTGGGAGACCCTGTGCCACGTGGGGCCCAAACAGTGCTTCTTTTTCTCTACTCTTTGCCCATTTTATCTTAGTCAAGAAAAATTACGCAAATTCCTACCACTTAGAAAGCATGACCTTTAGCATTAAGTGAACATAATTTGGGACATTTTTAATGCATAGGAAGTGTATAGAGACACAGAGAAGGATGGACAGATGGTCGGATGGAATGACAGAACTAATTAAAATTGGATCATTCAACACTTGCTATTTTTAATTGAAAGTATTTTAATTTAACCAGAAAAAGAAAGGGAAATAAAATGTAAAGAATTAGCTGCTCCTCAAATAAATATTTCTTCAGCACAAGAAATACAATTTCCTAAGAGAGTCTCCTAAGCTTACTAAGACCGGTGGGGAAAAACACGAAGAGGTCTGAGCCGGTGAGTCCTGTTTTAACCGGGTCCCCACCGTGCGCAGGGTCAGTTGGCCAGTTGTGAAAGATGAGAACGTCAGCCGTCTCCCTCGCGTTCAACTCCCCTTCACCATCTTCCAGTCTTCTGTTAGTCGTGTTATTATTACTGCACAGTCCAAGTCATAACATACACATTATGTTCGGGAACCATAATTCCTACTGGTTTAGTGTTTTTAAACAGATTCAATTCTTACCACCTGTGTTCCTCCACAGCTTTTCCATTCCTGGAGTCTTTATTTTAATGACTCTCTTACTTAGCTGGATTTCCCCATGAGCCAGGTTTTCACAAGTCCTGCGTGCTCTGATGTCCCTCGTGAAAACATCCACGTGTGACGGGGCCTCGCCTCACAGGCCCGCACGCCTCTGCGCCTCTCCCCCAGCACTTGCACTTGGAGGCCCGGCTCCCGTCGCCTTCGGACACTGGCTGCCGGTGTAGGGAAGTCTGAGCCAGTCTGATCCTTTCCTCTTGTCCGTGACTTGCTTTATCTTCCTGGTGGGTAAAGGATGCCCTGAAGTTCAAAGGCACAACAAGAGGAATGGTTCAGAGTGGAGTGTTCTGTACCAGATTTCCCTGGAACCTGGCATGCCCTTTCTTCATTTCGGAGGGTTTCTTTGGGTGATCTTTGACTTCTTCTGTACCATTTCTTGGCTTTCCTCTTTCAGGGATTCCAGGCAGCCATATGTTGGGGGCTGTCTACCTTCCATGTCCCCTAGCTTCTTCCTAGTGGCTGCCTTTTCCTCTGTCTTTTCCTCACAGACACTGGGACCATCTGTCTTTACTTAGATACTCATCTGATCCTTGATTGGTCCCCTAGGACCCCAGTCTCCCTTTCCATCTTACTCTTTTGTGTCATCATCTCATTTTTCAGGTCTTGCTTTATTCAACCCACGGCGGGTGGTGGTGGGGTCACACTTGGGGAGATTTCCTTGTGTCCCTTGGGGCTGCCTCCTGGGCTGAGTAATCTAGGCAATGCTTGATTCCTTTCTTTTTCCTTCTTTGTGTGAGAGGATGTTTGCTAGGTTGCCATACCATTTCTTTTTGTCTTGCTCCCATTTGAGAAGCTCCATCTGGATATTCCATGGCTCCAATGCAGGGAGGTGACATCTGACCCTGCTTCCATATGTGTGAGGTGGGCTGGCTTTTCCTCCTGCCATGCTGTGAGGTCAGGGTGCTTTGTCTCTCCCTTCTTCTCTAGCCTGGGGGAACGCAGGGCTCAGGCTCCAAGGAGGCAGGGAGCAGGCGGTGTGTTTTAGATATGGGGGCTCTATTAAAAGGCCTGTATCAGGGTCTCCCCCACCTCGTTGGAGGCTGTATCCCATTCCAGAAAGGGGCACCTTTGGGAAAGATGATTTGGGTTTCAAATCACCCCCTCAGTGGAACCTTCATTTCTGCCAGAGTATCCACCATGTTGTCCACTCCTTTCATGCGTTTCTTGCCAACATCTGGTGCCACTCTGAAGAGGGAGAGGTAGGGACTCCTGCTCAGACGTACCGAGACACCTCAGAGGGCAGGATACTGGAGCCCAGCTGTCACACCTCTTGGTCAGACTCCACAATCCTCTTTTTCTCTCCTTGGCTACAAGTTTCTGAAGTTCATGGCTTCAGCTCAGCCCCTTTTCTTATTGACTTGTAGCTGGTAAGTTCTACTCCTAAGGCTTTATAATTTGTTGGGAGAAAGGGAGTCTGCCATCTGGCTTCACTCCACCATTTTCATCCAGAGGTTCTTAATCAGTACTTAAAATAATAATAATAATAATAATAATAATAATACTTAGGTGCCAGTCCTCCTAACGAGTCCATGGTCTTGCCTCTCTGCGGCATCTGAGAAGGGGGTGCACTATAATGATTGCAAACCCTGATTTCAGGTCAGACAGTCCTGGGTTGGATTGTGTGCCCTGCTACTTGCTAGCCCATGAATTTGGGGAGCTATTTAACCTTGCTACTGTTTCCTCATCTGGTAGGTAGGGACAATAAACGTACCGAGTCCCCAGGCTTGTCTTGAGATCTGGAACAGACCCCAAGGGGCTCCTGGGCTCCGAGGCTCTAGCTCTTAGCAGCAGTCCTGTCTCCCGACTCCAGACACACATGTGATCAGTCCCCTGTGATACACCAAAGCCCCTCTGATTGCATGAATATCTTTGTTTCCAGACTGTCACTCCGAATTGAACCCGGAAGCAGCTCTCCGAGACTGGTCTCTTCCAAGGAAGATCTCGCAGGTACTATAGCCACCTCGAGTGGGGACACACCCACTAATGGCCCGGGCCGGGGCTGGCCCTGACCGTGGCATCAAGGGCACAGTTGAGTAGCAGGCTGCCAGACTCCATGGACCTAGCAGCCCTTGCACACCAACCTTCCAGGCTCCTAATCCACGGGGCCCCTCTGGGTCACCTCTGGGCTACCTCTGGGCTGGGGTTCCCTCAAAGAGCCTGGGACCAAACAGCCCCAAGAGAGGCCAGGTCAAAACCCCAGGCTGGGAACATGCACAGGGCAGAGAAACTTCTCCGAGTCACTTAGGCCCTTAGCATTGGTCCTGCTGCCTGGGCTCGGGTTGATGCGACCTGGAGGCGAGCAGCACGGGATGCCTGGTGCCTCCAGACACGGGCAGCCCACCCACCTGGAACATCAGCTTTACTCACACATTTGGGACACACATAGTGCCCCTAGTGATTAAGGGGGCTGGGGACAGGGTTCCCATCAGAGGGACGTAGGTAATAGCAGCAGGATTCTAAAGCAGCTGCTGTGGGCCAGAGAAGGAACGGTAGCAAACACTAACCATTAAGGTCTTTCTTCAGCAGATTGATGCCAAAATTCTGGAGCAGAGTGGGCTCCGATCAAAAGCGTTCTGCCCTTGAGTCTCCTTCAAATTAGTTTGAGTAAGAGGCCTCTGCCGCCTTACCTGGCTAATGTGCCTTAGTAGGATAAGCCAAGTCTCTGGCCTTCCCCAAGTGCCAAGAAGTCCCCACAGTCACTCTTTCTACCTTCTGGACGGTGCCAGAGGATGCATCTCCTAGTGCCCCTTCCTGCTGCGGGCTTCCATTACCTCTGCCCCTGCCGTGCCGGGCCGTTCCCACTTCCCTCTCCCCGCACGCAGGAGCCACTGAGCAGGGAGGGATGGGGTGTGCTGCTATGAGCCAGGCACTTACAGTGAGCCAGGGACCCAGGGGGATGAGGCAGAGACCTGCCCACAGGGAGCTTAGGCTTTAGCAGGGAGACAGGCAGCAAGGCCCTGAGGGGGCCAGCACGGCGCAGGAAGAGAGATGGCAGAGGGAAGGGCTTAGCCTTGGCTTTCGGGGCCAGCTCTGCCTCTCTCTAGCGACTCTCTCCATCCACAGGCCAAACTTAAGCCTCATCTCTGCCTGAGAGAAGCAGGGCCTCTGGAAAGTTCCTCAGCCAGGACCCTTGCACATGCCTTGAATGGCTTTCCCTCCTGTTTCCATGGTTGGCTCTTACTCATCCTTCTAAACTCAGAGAGACTTTATTTCAGCTCTTTGTTTCGTTATGACACCCCCATTTGTAATTACTCTCTCTTTCTGGTCACTGGGCCTCACTTAGTTCCCAAAGACCCATCCCAGCGGATGAGCCTCCAGCATCCGGCATAAGGCTTGTGCTCGATGGACGCTTGGGCCTCCCAGGGTTCATGGGCGAATGGGTGAAAGGAAGGAAGGACCAGGCTAAGGCTCCGGGTGGGCCTTTCGCACGCACTGGCCTGGAGCGCAAGCGGGGTGTGATGGCTGGAGCCTCATCGCAGAGCCCCAGAGAGCCTCCTCCTCCCCGCTGTCCTGTACACCGCGTGCAGCCCAGGCCCGCTCCTCTGCCGGCCTTGCCTCCCGAGTCTCAGCCATTCGGCAAGCCTGTGGGCTGCTTGTTACCAGGCCAGATGGCAGCAGAGGCCTCCCCTTCCCTCTAGGCATCTGTCTGACCCCGAAGGTCCCTTCACTTGACCAGCACCTGCCTCACTCCCTCCTTCCTGAGGAAGAGACCAGGGCCCCCCGCTGCCCCCAGGCCAGCTCTGCACTGAGCACCACCAGCTCCTCCTGCTAGGCCGGAGCCTGTGGACCAGCAGCCAGACTCGGAATACTAACTCTGCTCGCTGGGGGCCTCAGGAACTGACCCCCTCACTGAGCCCTGGGCAGGAAAGAAGGAGCTGCACTGACTTTTGACCCCTGCCTAGGATGGAAACGGGGCCTGGGAGCTAGGACCCAGCCCCTGGCCCAGCCTCCTCTGGGTCTGCCAGACTTTCCTGTTTTAGCCACTGTCCCCTCCATCGGCTCTGCCATTTATTAGCCATGGGAGGTCAACCCAGCAAGTTAATTAACTGCCAGCTTCGGTCAGAATCCTGGCAACAAAGAGAATTCCTCCCCACCCTTGCCCCGGCTCACACGAAGAGACTTTAATGAAGCTGAAATGGGTAAAGCGTAGTGAGGCGCCGGCCCCCTCGGCTGAGGGACCTGGAAAGGAGAAAGTGTCACCAACTCCGTGATTGCTGAGCTGAGGAGGACTCGGCGACAGAGGGAGCAAACAGAACAGTTGATGTACCCGCCAGGCTTCAGTTTCTCCATCTGTAAAGTGCACCTCATAATGCTTCCCTCCCACGGTTGTTGTGGGAATTTGTTCAGACCCCGTGTGTGAGACAGTCCAGTGCCGGACACACACAGCCTCTCACTGAGTGTGTCTTTGCTAGGATGCTGTCATTGTCGTCAGTGTTGATTGTGCCTCCGTCACTGAATCAGCCTTTAGCTGTTCGTGAAATGTCACCGCCTCGGGTGCTTTTCCTGCCGCCAGACCCCCCTGCCCCGTCCCTGCCCAGGTCAGGCCCCCGCTGCACCAGGGTTGGCAAACTCTGGCCCACATCCAGCCCACCCCTGTTGTCATGTTGGAGCACGCCACACCCATCCGTTGACATATTGTCTGTGTCTGCTTTCCGTGACAGTGGCAGAGTTGAGTGGTTGGGACAAAGACCCTGTGGCCTCCAAAGCCTAAAATATTCACCATCTGGCTTTTTGCAGAAACTCTGCCAGCCCAGCGTTGTACCCTCTTGTGGAGCTGGTCTTTCTCCGCAGCACTTCCCCATGGGGATCAGAGTGTTACCTGTGCACATTTGCCCCCGTCTGCCTTCCCCCCAGCATAAGGACCCCGTCCAGCGTCCCCAGGGCCTGGCACATAGGGGCCCTGGGGAAATAGCCGCACCGGCCCGGCCTCTGAGCCCCTGGCCCGAGCCTTCAGGCATTGGGCTCTGGGAGGCAGCTCCAGGGCTGCGGACTGCTGACTCCACACTCCTGGGGAAGTGCTGAGGCGGCACTTTTCACACAGTGGTGCGAGCCCAGCTCACAGGAGTGTTTTCCACCAGTTTTCCAAAGCCCTGGCTCCCGCCCTGGAAGCAGGATGTTAAGGTTTTCATTGATCACCAGAGGGCCCGGGAGTGTCTGGAAGGCTTCCGACGTGCTCAGTGGTCCTGGCTTCCCACCCGCAGCCTCGAAGCGTCTCCAAGGACAGAGAGGCGGGCGAGGCTGCAGCGTGGGGCAGCCGAGGGGTCCTGTGGAGGGCGGGACCAGAGGGGCAGTTCCCGGGAGGCCTTCCCCCATCTGGCAATCAGACCGGGCTGCGTGGCAGGAGCCCGGCCGGGCCCAGGGACAGGAATGTGCCTCTTGCAGTCCCAGGAATGGGAGGAACGCAGCCTCCCTCAGCTCCTTGGGATGGGGGTTTAAGCTACAGCTCCAGGCTCTCTTTCCAGCAGTCAGGCACCCGCCCCCACACCTGCCAAGGAGAGGACCGAGATGCCTTCATGAGTTCATGCACTCAGGACATCTGGGGCCTGCTGTGACAGGCCCTCACCATGAGCCAGCTACCCAGGGAACAAGGCAGAGACCTGCCCACACGGAGCTTAGGCTTCAGCAGGGAGACAGGCAGCAAAAGCCAGGCGGCGTGGCACAGGAAGGAGCCAGAGGAGGCCAGTGTGAGCATGACCAAGATGGTCGGGGGCTCCTTGACCCTTCCATGCTGCTGTGCCCACTTCTCTCACCAGCTCGCCTGCCTCAGGCGCTGAGACCTGCTGACCCAGCCCTGAGAGCAGCTGGGACTTGGGTCTCTCAGAGGCCTTGGTTAATGTCAATGTGGTCCCGGGCTGAGGCTGTGCCCTTTGTGTCTGTGAGGGCCCCTGTGCCCCATAGAGAGCTGCCAACTCTCCACCCTGGGGAGTGACCGCGCCAGCGGCTCCGCACCAACAAATAGCCTGTGAGAACGGAAACGGAGAGACCTTCTCAGTTTCTGGGCTGTGGAGGCGAGAGGGCCAGGAATGCCACGTTTTCAACCCCCCCCATATGTAATGTTTCATTTATATAAACGAACTAATATTTTCCTGGAGAGCAAAAATCATAAAGAACGTTGACCCCCAGAGAGGGCAAGTCATGTTTGTGTGTGCCTTGGAACCGATGAAGACATTTCCAGATTCTGTTAGCCCGCCTCTGCGTGGCTGGACCAGCTGACAGGTTTTCTCTCAAAAGTCCTTGGCAGCAGAGCAAGGCCATGCAAAATCTCAGCTGGGCCTCAGGTTTCTGCACTCATACCTTCAGACCCGCTCTCCACATGCTTCTAGGTATTTCTGGTCTCACTGCCTTTTGGGGGAAAGCCCTGCTTTGGAGTCAGACAGACCTGAGTTCATGGCATGGCTCCAGCACTTCTTAGGTGTGGGGCCTGGGGCCATCAGCTTACTCCCTCCCAGCCTCGGTTTTCTTGTCGGTGACACGGCGGTAGGACTAAATACTTCACATGGTCTTACTTCCTGGGACTGCTGGCTCATGGCCCACATGGGGCAGTCTCTGGTGCTATCCTCATGGAGGGACAGCATGACACAGCCGACAGAGCAGGGGACAGGGAGCCGGAGGGCCCTGCCCTCAAGTCCGACTCACCATTCACCAGCTGAGCTGTGTACCACCGCTGATGGCCAGACACTTCAGAACCTAGTGGCCCAGAACCACCGTTTTCATTACAGGCACGGGCTCTGTGGCTCAGCAAATAGGACAGGACCCAGCCAGGATGGCTTGTCTCTGCTTCACAGTATCTGGGGTCTCCGTCAGATTGAAGATTGAGAGGGACTCAGTGACTAGGGGCTGGAATCCTCTGGATGCGTGTGGTGCTGGCTATTGGCAGGGCCACAGCTGGAGTAGAACGCACGTACGTGTGGCTCCCACATGGCCTGGGCTTCCTTACCGTGTGACAG